TCATGGCCATTACTCCCTTAAACCATCTTAACTCGTTAAGAACTCAGTGTGTCTCATCCTTGAGCATGTCTTCCATGGACTCCAATTTATCAATGTGGGACTCCATAACACCTTGGGTCTCCTTGGCTCCCTCTTCAGATCTCTTAAGTCTTATGATCATTTTCTCCAACCAAGTTAAGATTTCTAACATGTTTTCCTGCATATCTATATCACGTACTCGTAAGTTTTCCACTGAACTCGTTGAGTAGCTCATACACCTCTTTTTAGGCATGGTTGTCTAGCTCTTCCAACCTAGTAACCTCTACCGTATCTATCGACTCCCTTAAAGTTCCAACTCTTGGTTTTGCCATCTCGAACTACTTTGCCACGAACTAGCTAAATCACTCCTGACTAGCTCGAGCATAAATTCTTGCCAACTTAACTACCAAAGTAAATTGACAATACAGTAAGTAAATCAAACTTACCTGTTTACCACTTTCACCAAACACAGAAAAAATAATTGTTGTATGCCCACAATGACTCACTCTGATACCACTTATCATACCCTCAAAACCTTCAAGCCCAAACTGTTACAATATCAGAGTTAAGGTCTGACGGAACGTGTGACCTTAGACACTTCTTAACATTTCTGGGTGTTCTATGAGGCTAAGTAAGCCTTACCCAAGCCTAATAAGCATGCAAACTCACCAAGGTTGGAACCAAACCCCCCAAGGCTTCTGGGATGCGAAAACTTTAACACCAACGTGGCTACTCCAAGTCACCAAGGTTGGACTATGGCGTGGAAGTGTAAACACAAGTGTGGGTACTCCTACCCACTAAGAGAGGCAACAACACAAAGAGACGTAGGAACAAAACACACAAGAGATAGAGTAAATGCCTCGGAACTTTATTACTTTCTCAAGAGAATGAATGAAATGAGATGTTACAAATGAAGAGGGGATGCTCTCCATTTATAGTTGAGCTCCCTCTTAATCAATGACCTAGATCTATTTACATCAACAGCTAAGATGAACCCAATTAATTACAAATCTTTGTATCCAAGGAAACTCCAGTATTCAAATCCCCTATTTAAAGGAAGACACCCAAACCACCATCTCATCACATCAATTAGTCTGATTCTTTTCTTAGATGGTTGATCACACTTGATATAGTAAGATTCCCCCCACAATCTCTTCTAATTTGTTGTCTCTTGCCAAATCTGTGCTGCCTATTTGGGCATAATATGATAAGGTGTCACTTTCCTTTTTTGCACGGCTAGTGTGAACAGACTCCACAGCATTCTCCAAGTGATGGGCCAAGTCTGGTGGTCTTGGCAAGCCCGATACTCCATATGGAACCTCTTTGTCGGACACTTGCATCAATATCCTGAGTCCAATTAAACAGCTCGTGACATTATCATCTCCAAATTGTAAGTGCCATAATCTCCAACAAGCATAGAGGCTAGTGGAGCAATGGCCTCCCAAAATTTAAAAATTTATAACATAAACTTTTAAATTTTCAAAAGTTTAGCCCCTCAAAATTTTTAGAAATTTAGATTAAACTTTAAAAAATTTTAATGTTCTTGATTAAACCCCTTCATATAATTTTTAAAAATTCTCATTAAGCCTCTCAAAATTTTAAAACTTTTAGTTAAACCCTAATTTTTTGGAAAAAAATATGAACTAAATCCTTAAAAAAAACTAAAAAATAATTTAAGCCTCTGAATTTTTTAAAGTTTTAAATTAACCCCCAAACTTTATCACCAAATTTCGCCACTACTGGTATAACATAGATAGCTTCAATATATAGGACTGCATGCAAACTATGGATCTCATGCTCCACATATCGAATCCACAAATCAAATTTACGTTTGCGTTTTTCATAAGAAAATGAAAAAAAGGTTTTTAGAAATTTAATAATTGAATATTAATCAAGACTTCTTAAGTTAATGGCATATGCGTATTAAATTTAGTATGGAATATCTCCTTCAACAAAATTATAGAATTTTACTATAAATTTATGAGAAACAGCTAATGATCTGATGGCATGATATTAGTTTATTTGCATATGATATGCCAAAAAATGAAGGCATAAAAAAAACTGAGAAATCCTTAAACATATTAATATATTTTACAAGAATATTAGTAACAAACAAGAGTTAAAGCTAATAATATTGATCAAATCTGATAAACATTTACGTTTACATTAATTAAAAGCACAAGAAACTCTAAAACTAGTTGATCTTCGAGAAAACAAAGCCTCCCAAATCTCAGAAAAAGCCTGAACAATGACCCCATGATGATACCTAGAATTCAAAGACAAGAAACAATGCAAGAGCTGTTCCAAATCTCTCTCTTCAAACATTTGCTTCTCTAATATCATATCCATCATCGACCTCTTAAAATCCTCGTAAGGATCCTCCGATTTCTTCACCACGACAAAACTCTCCTTCACTTTGCCTTCCACCGTGCACGGTATCATCCGTTGCCAAAAGCTCGACAACCTCGTCGGCGATTCGCTCTCTGACGACGAAAATCTTACTGCGTACCTTTTTGTCTTCTTAACTTTCTTGGGTTTCTTCTTTCTTTGCTTCGTAGGCTTTGCGTCCAGTATGATTTCTAAGTTGGCGTTAAACATCTCTAAGGGGAAATCAGTAGAGAAGCTCCTCGAAGGTGAGACCAGAATTTCAGTTTACTTATCATTAATATCATAGTCTTCAAAACTTCCGCTGGTAAACAATCCGCTCTCGGCCGACAAGGTGTCTATCTAGTTTTTTGGCGTCGTTTTCCTTTTTTTGTATCGTCATTTTTCCTTTACCGTCTTGAGAGGGGCCGGAGGTGGAAATAAATCGTCGTCGTTTTCGGGGGTACTGCAGAATTTGCGTCGGGGGGTTATGTTATCGTCGAAAACTTTGGCTATAACGTGACCTATGTTTTCTTTTTCCCAGTAGAACTCCAATGTCGACGGCGATGATGATTCAATACGATCAGTTTCAGACAAGTACTTTGCAGACGATCTTGACCCGAGCCCGCAGCCGATCAACCAAAACACGAAAGAAACGTGTCGTTTTAGTGAAGAGTAATGAGACAACTTTGACGATTTTGGTTGCGGTGGCGGCGGTAAATAGCGGGTGATAGGGTTTCGTCTGACTGAAGAATGTATGCAGGATGAATGGACAGGAATTAATGGGAGATTAGAAGGGCCTTTTGAAGGGGAAGATTGGAACGAGGTGAAGAGCCGAGATATCTTAAGCTTGAAACGTTTCGCCATTTTCATGTTTGTGGATTATGTTCTGTGAACTAATTGTATTACCTGATAAAAGTTAGGCGCATCCGCGCATATATAGAGGGAACAATGAAGGCGTGATTTCTCTTTCATTTAAAAAAGAAGTGCCAAATTTATTTTTCTAAATATTTTGTCAGCTACTACAGAAAAAGGAATAAATGAACTTGGAGTGCTACAGTTTATTTGATGTAGGGAAACAAGTAAACACGGTGACTTGGTGAATTTGTTTAGCTTTAGCCATCACTTGTTTTGACCATTTTTCCATGTATATGAAAGAAATCTATTTGTATAAACATGTCAATAAAACGTTAAATACTTAACGATTTTTTATGTGAAATATTTTTTTTATAAAAAATTTAGAGATTTAATCAAATTAGTTAATCAACTTTTATCATTAAATTTTAAACACGTGACTGTATAAGTTGGTGAATCATAGGATTCTAGATCCCAGTTCAACAGAAAGGTATTCAATTTCTTAGCGTTTGGCCCAATGCGTAAAAATTACATATCCATTCTAAATTTTAAGGTGGATTTGATGATACAACTAGAAAAGTTGTAGTTGGGAACAATTGAACATGTAATTTCTTTACTTCATGATACTTGCTGTCATTTTCTCTCGTTAGCGTGGAGGAAATTGACTGTGTATGGGATTTAATTTAATGTCTTAGTTGGGATTTTTACCATTTACGTCGGCAGAGTGTAAGGGAACTGAGCAAGGGTGCAAAACAAGCACTGCAAGGTGGATCCAGGGTAATGTCGAGCGGAAGTGGTCGATGATGTGAAGAAGGCTGCAGGACCTGAGTTAAAACATTCTTCTTCACTTTTGTACTCTCATTTTGCTGGTGATCTGCCCAAGTTTATCAGAGGTCACAGTCGGCAAAACCATAGAGTTCTTCACATTTGTCCAAGATAGGTTCATGTTTTTGTTGATCTTATTGAAATTATTTTTTTCCCACTGCAAGCAAGTAAAATAATAAAAATGATAAAAAGTTACAGTCAAAGTCGAGAGTTTTTTCATGTGAACGATAATGTTTATTAGTTATGGACTCAAGAAATTACTAGATTTAATCTTTAATTTAGAGTGGTCTCAACTTCTCCTTTCTGCACCTGATGGAGTAAGGTATGATGAAATGAAAATGGGTATAAAAGCCTATATTTGTTCACAAAAATCAACTGATAAGAACAACCCCATGGTACAACTTTAGTTGGTAGTAAAAATCTTCCAATAACGAATTCACCAAATAGGCACACATTGGGTTTGATTTTCCAACTTAAAACTTGTAAAAGTTATAAACAGAAAGTTGGTCAACTTTTTATGTTTCATCTTCCTAGCTGGTTAGTCATCCAAGGCTTTTCTACTGTCTGCATGAAGGAAACAATAAGCAAAGACATGATCATTCTTTAAAAAAAAAACATTTTGTCGTCTATGCGCCACACTTGAGGATGATGGCAAGTTATGTTATAATTTGCGACACGCACTTGGTATATAATTAATTGTTGAAGGTTTTTCAGGAGACCATTTTTTTATTGAATTTGCACGTGTAAAATATATGATGTTGGACATTTTTCTTCCTTTCTTAACCTTGCAATTTTCTTCAGGGTTCTTCAATTCTTTTAGATGAGCCAATAAGGTGAAAAGAGGGTTCCTCGTACCCTTCAGGGATAATTAGAGTCTTTAAGGGGTTCGTGGTAACCTTGCTTTTCTCGGCTCGAACTTTGGAAAAAGCTAACGCAAAATGGCACCATCCTCTTCACCTAAAAGTTCACTTGGTAAAAATAGATCACCGGCACCGTTAAATTCATCACAAGGTAACTCCAAATCAACACCAAATAACGCACCACCTCGTCTAGCTCCTAAAAGCAAAAATAACTATTACCCTCCTCATTCACCTGGTCATAGTAGTCGCGGAAACCAACACTCTCCGTCACCTCATCGCAAAAATGGCAGTCATGCATCACCGACCAAAAGTTCATCCTCTAAGAACGATGCGGATGGGAAAATGATTATCGTTATAATAACTCTCCCCCTCAGTGGGGCAATGGTTTTCAAGGTGCAGAGCATTCTATCATAGTACCACCGCCTAATAGTGGCGGTAGCGGTGGCAGTGGATGGGGTGCATCATCCCAAATGCATCTAACTGCTAGTAGCGGTGGCAATGGATGGCAGCCATCATCCCAAGTGCCAGGACCGGTTTACAGTGGTGAGTCAAGCTACAATTTTTCAGGCCTTTACCAACATGGTTTGCCACCTCCTCCTCCTCCGGGAATTCCTATTGGATTCAATAAGAACAGTTTCACTTATGAGGACCTGTCGATTGCGACAAATGGATTTTCTGAGTCGAATCTGATCGGCCAAGGTGGGTTTGGATATGTTCACAGGGGTGTGCTACCAGATGGAAAAGAGGTTGCAATCAAGAGCTTAAAAACCGGTAGTGGACAAGGAGAAAGAGAATTCCAGGCTGAAGTTGAAATAATTAGTCGAGTTCATCATCGACACCTTGTTTCACTTGTCGGTTATTGTGTTGCCGGTGCACAACGGATGTTGGTCTATGACTTTGTTCCGAACAAGACGTTGGAATATCATCTCCATGGTAAAATTTAGTTCCTTTCTTAGTTCTTCATCCATTTTGGGGAGAATATGTTGACCTTTTATGGTTTTCTACATGAATTATGCAGTCTTGAAACCATTACAATTGCATACTGCAGGAAATGATGTTCCAGTCATGGATTTTGCCTCTAGACTTCGTATTGCTTTAGGTGCTGCTAAGGTGCTTGCTTATCTCCATGAAGATTGTAAGGATTTTCCAGTCTCTCTCGCTCTTTTGAACTCTCTTTGGGACTGCATTTCTCGATATGGTTCTCATTTCTATGTTGAACCATACATGCAGGCCATCCCCGCATTATTCATCGCGATATCAAAGCAGCCAATATTCTCCTTGACGAAAACTTTGAAGCTATGGTATCTTCTTCTAAAGTTGAATTTGTTGTTTTAATACACCCCAGAAAGTATTGATATCAAAACTATCAAGTTCATATTTTCTGTAGGTGGCTGATTTTGGATTGGCTAGGTTATCCACTGACAACCACACACATGTTTCGACTCGTGTGATGGGAACATTTGGGTAAAGAACTATTTTTCGTAGCTAGTGAATGGAAATTCGAAACCCTCAAATGATTTTGGTTGTAATGTTGGTACTTGGCACCAGAGCATGCCTCAAGTGGAAAGTTGACTGAGAAATCAGATGTTTACTCATTTGGGATTATGCTTTTAGAACTCATAACTGGAAAACCTCCTGTCGATAATACAATGGAAGACACTTCAGTAGATTGGGTTTGTAGCCTATTCGTCAACCTGACCTTCCATTGGAGTTCAAATTTATTCTATTAATTGTCTCAGTCCTTTTCAAGTCATCTAATGAATTACTTTACGAAACAGGCTCAACCACTTTTGGAATGTGCGTTAGAGACTGGCAACCATATACATCTTGTTGATCCACGCTTGGAGCGTAATATTGGTAATGCTCAATCTCACATAGATTTGGAAATACTAATGGGAATGGTATTTAAGGTTTACATTCTCCATACCCTTGTTGAGTGATAGAGAATAAGACGTGGTAATACATGTCTTTGATACGTCCACACGAATACTATATTTTTAGAGAAAATTCGTAAATAATTTTTCTCTGAAAGATTAAATGAAAAATGTGATATATTCATCTGATATTTATAGGCTACTGAGACTGTTAAAGTTCGAATATTTCAGATGATAACAGCTGATTATTAGTTGTCTGAAATTAAATAAATTAAACAATTATTTTTCTAAATTAAATCAGAATTTAAGACGTATCTGCACTGATTTCCAACTTTTTTCATGGGAGAGACAAGCTGTTAATATCAAGAGTTACAGGAGTTATATGATTTAATTTCAGGAGTTATAACTGTTTAATTTTATGCAATGAACATGGACTCTTTTTTGAGCCAGATTCATCTAGCATATAAATAGAATTCACTCTCCAAGTGTTTTCTAAAGTTGTTCTCTCCGTGCTTTCCGATCAGAAGTGCAATACCACCAGTAGTCCACTCCGGTTTTGGGTGTATGGAATTCAAAGCGACCATGTTAACCTCGGGGGACGGTCAGCCTACTGCAGCGATTACACACATCGGGGCGAATTCGTTTCTAAGGTAGTGGTTAATACCACGACACGGTTAATCGGTTCTTGATTTATATATTTCAATATATATCTTTCCTGTCAGTGCTAATGCCTCGTTTTGCAACAGTCTATTTTACCAACAATTTAGAAACGAATTCGAGCTGCTGCATGATATTTGTAAAAGGAACGATGAAACCACATGTTGGATTCGAGTTTGTGTGTAAGTGTGAATTCAAATATCGGTTCAACCTAGCATCAAAGTGGTACGTAATATTTTGATACAGATTATTATTATCGTAGTTCGATGCAGTCTGATGCAAGTGACGATGCCATGAATTTTAGTTGTTTCAATGTTTTCAAGATTAGCTTTTATTTGATGTAACAACATGATTCATAATTTTAAGATGGATATGCGTTAGGTACATTTGAAAGCAATTATAAATATTTTAACTACAGTCAACGTCCTATAATAAATGGTTTATGAAGTTTAAAGGATAACAGTTTTATTATTAATTGGTAGTTTTAATATTGTGTTATAAGCATTTATGCATGATAATATGTTATCATGATTAATTTGGAATGTTGGTGTTTAATGTACATTAGCTGAGTATGCATTAGTAGTATTTTTAATTGATAATTCATTTGAATTTTAAATGGATTAATGATTGAATAAAAAAATTAAAAATATTCATGTGAGTTGTGAATAGATATTTATTAGAAATTATAGCACTTTAAATGCTATTGTGAAGAATGAATGTACATAAGTTATAAAATTTATGATGGTATCTTATGTGAATAAATATTTTTGACGTTTGTATTGTTTGCATTTATAAATGCACAATAATATATTAATCATGTGGTTTGAGAGATTAATATTAAATTAATACATCAAATTATGAATTGATAATAGTTGATATATGGGTACGAGAGATAATGCATGTGTGATATTTGGTTCATGTGGAGATATAAAACTAAGGTGAAAATAATTATAAATATTTTTTACCGTACTAATAATTTTCTTTGAGAAATTTGTAAAGATACAGGAAATGTGTAATTTTTGGAGAAGTATGGAGCTGGTGGAGCTAAAATGAGAAGATTCTCCAAAATCAAATAGTTGTTAAATTCGATTTGATTTCCACAATCTCTTGAAGATAAGATACCAAAATCCTAAAGATAAGGATCTTGTCACTAATAATAAATTATTTTAATTATTGTTAGTAAATTAATTTCGTGACTAACCATGTATATTCTTCATTTGACTTCAGAAGATACAAAAGAGATGTTGGTTCAGATGAAGTGATTGTCACGATGGATTTTGGGATCATGCTGATTAAAAATGATGATGCAAAGAATGAAGTTGTATGCATGGTGAACAAGTCTATTTGGAATTGTGATTCTACCTGCGAGGTCAGATTATTTAGACTTGTTGCATGTTAATTCATGCCTTTTAAATACATGAATAAGATTTCATGAGCCTTTAAGATAGTCTTTAAAACTCAGTGGATACTATGAAATGAGATAAAAACCACTATTAAGACTACGGTAGTACTATTAAGGCTAAGGTGGTAGTGTGAGCCCAAAAATATATATGCTTAATAAGATACTATTGTGAGTATCCAGCATAATTCTTTAAAGAGATATTATTTAAAGAAAGAGAAAATTCATAAATGATTTATTGGAAAGTAGTGTGATGATTATGAAAGTGCATGTCTAGGATTGGTTCTATGAAGACTTGGTACTTAAGCGTGCCTAGTGCACCACCTCTCTTTCATAGAAACCTACCTAGTGCATTGTTCATTACTATGCTCACTATTCCAATACTATGACAAGATAAAAACTCTTAAACTTAGTGCATAAGTTAAAAGAGTGGAGATTAATTTGGTTGAGTGGAATATCAAATTTAGTCATAGTAAATAAAATATATGATGATCTCTTTAAGGCTAATATGTTGAATATCATGAATAAGAATATGCTAGACATTATTGCTACTAAAAGTGTGTTGTAGCTATTAAATCTCTTTAAGTGATTTTCCTAAGTAGTGGAAAGAAAAGAGATTATCTATTTCATAATTTGTGCTAAAATCTCATGTTTTAAACTTGAGATCATTTTTCCTGATGCTAGAGGAAAAGTCATAAAGAATTTCATATTGGTTTATGCATTTTAATCTTAATGATTTGTAACTTCTCAAAACTTTGAGAATATAATTATGTGTAAACAAAAATTGAGTTTGTTAAAATATAGTTTTATGGCTAAAACTCATAAAAACTTTACTCTAGTATGATTGAGTATTTGTTTACACGTTTTACAAGACACTTATGGATATCCTAAAATGTTAGAAATGTGGGGGTGTCTTAAAATGTAGATTAAATGCATAAACTTAAATAGAAAATATTCTATCAACTTCTTCTAGTATTCCTGCTAGGTCTTCTCAAGAAATTGATTTCGAGACTAGAAGAAGTAAAAGGCTATTTGGACCAAATTTTATCACTTCCTTTATTTCTGAGATAAATGATTTAGACTCTCTTTCTGATCATATATGTTAAATGTTATATGAGGATCCTAAAAAAGCTATAAGATCTATCGATGCTAGTTTCTAGAAAAGCGCTTTTTGATGAACTAGAATCGATAATGTCTAATCATACTTGGGAATTAGTTGACTTGCCTAGAGGATTTAAATCAATCTGTAGCAAATAAATCTTCCGGAAGAAAATGAGACCATATGGTTTGATCCAGTGGTACAAGGCAAGACTAGTTGTCAAAGGGTTCACTCACAAGTTTGTTTTAGACTACTTTGATTCTTACTTCGCTGTTATGAACATCTCAAAGATCCGTGCATTATTTGCACTAGCCTCCATTCATAAGTTGTAAGTATATCAAATGGATGTTAAGATTGTATTTTTGAATAGAGATCTAGATGAGGAGATCTATATGGGAATAATGGTACAAGAAATTTCATAAAACTATACTTAGTTTTGGTTTTGTTGTGAATGGTTCGGATGCTTGTGTGTATTCGAGGATGTTTGGTACTGATTATTTCATCATAAGTTTTGTATGTTGATGACATGTTAATTTTCAGTTCTAACATTGAGTCCATTAGCAAAACAAATAATTTTTTGTCCACTAAATTTGAGATGACGGATCTGGGAGAAGTTGATGTAATCTTAGGAGTCAAAATTATTGGAAAGGGATTTTATTTATGTCAAACACACTATCTTGAGAAAGTGTTAAAGAAATTTGACAGTTTTGATATCATCCCTGTTCGAACCCTTGTGACACTAGCATATATCTCTTTAAGAATAAAGAAAGTAGCGTTTCCCAAACAGAATATGCTAAATTAATCGAAAGCTTAATGTTCTTAATGAACTATACTCGACCTGATATTGCTTATGTTGTGAGTAGATATACTCATAATTCAAGTGGTGAACATTGGATTGCTCTTAAACGCTTACTGAAGTATCTTAAGGGTACTTTGGATTGGAAACGTGAGTTTGTTGGCTTTCCTGCGGTACTGGAAGGATATTGTAATGCCAATTGGGTTTCTGATAATGATAATGTAAGCTCTACCAGCGGGTATGTTTTTACTTTAGGTGGAGCAGCAATCTCGTGGAAATCATCAAAGAAGAGTTATATTGCTCGTTCTACTATGGAGTCAGAGTTTATAACTCTTGACCTAGCTGGGAAAGAAGCCGAGTAGCTCAGAAGCTTGTTAGCAGATATTCTGTTGTGGGGAAGACCGAATCCTCCGATTTATTTGTTGTGTGATTCACAAGTTGTGATATGTGTACAATGGTAAGAAAAGACACATTCACATAAGGCATGAATCAGTTAGACACTTAATAAAGAATGGAGTGCTCTCTTTAGAGTATGTGAAGTCGGAAAGGAACCTAGTAGATCCTTGGTCCTAGATTCGTCGAGGGAGATGGGTCTAAAGCCCATTGGTTTAAGAATTCATGGTGGATACCCAACTTAGTTATC